TTAATGGAAAGGAGATGAGGGTAACAGTGAGGCGCCGTAAAGAGGTCATAAAGCAATGAGGTACCCAGGTATACTTTACGATCTTTTAATATATTCAGTTACTACAGCGGCAACTGAGGTTATCTGGGATGTTTTCCCCGCCCGAGCTGCACATGCTATTTTTTAACATGGCCCGACGGCCTGGCCAAGTGGGTAAGGTCATTGCCTTACGTGCGCAAGGTTCTGAGTTCAAATCCCGGGCGGGTAGAATGGTGAGCTCTAACCAGTTTTAAGTCTTGATCATCATCACAATATACTCAACCGAGTCGATGCAAAGTAAAATAACAATAAAAAAAATTACGTTCTGATCACGGGAGGTAAAATAAAGGGGGGACTCTGTCAACTCAGCCACTCATTTCCATCTATGTCCCCAAAAGTTCTGGAAAAATTTGAGGTTGATTGTGTACTCAAAAAACTTTTTTTTAAATTTTTTCAGATTTTTTGGGTGAGTGGGTACGGCGATATGGTTAATATTAAGTTGATAGTTGATTCCAATAGTTTTGAATGTCCAAATAATCATTATATAGAGATTTTCAAACCTAAAATTTATATTTTTTCCCCAGCTTTTCAATGAAAATATTTTGAGATTTTTTAAATCAACTTTTATCCAGTTTAGGCGCGAAAAACTTGAAAAATTTCATTAAAATCCCACTTTCATGGCTTTGGGCAACTTTGATTCTCATTAAAAAAATTTAGAATATTCCTCATATGCATATAAAACACATGAAAAAATATGGAAGTGGGCATTCGAACTGACCATGCTGAACAAAATAAGTGCTGCATGAAGAAATCAGATTTATTCATTAAAAAAATTGTTATGTTTTCTTCATTAATATTTGGTTATATAAAAAAATAGAGCGATCGAAATGAACAGCTACAATTCAGAAAAACTCTATTAAACATGTATCGAAAGTGTTCTGGTGGTGCATAAGCATTTCGACATTATTCTTCCTTGAAATTTTTATTGAAAGATAGACAAAAATAGTAGAAAACTAATACCCACGTATCGAGGATACAAATTATAATATGATCTGGCTAGTTATTGGGTCAAGATCAGGGCAAAAATGCATCTCCATATCTTACACGAAATTCTAGAGAAATGAGGTCGATCAGGAATTGGGTTTATGTGATTGTTGAATCAAATCAAATCAAATCAATTTGAATTCTTCGCACCAATTGAGCTTTTTAGCTCTGACTTCATTTTCCCGTGCATTCCGATAACATCCAGGAGAGGGCGACTCTTGATCTTTCCAAGAAGAGAAATTTCATAATCGAACGACAACCATGCAAATACAAAACGAGTGAAGTATTTCTAACCCCACAATTTTTGATAATCCAGTGTTTCGAAATAGAATCCGATTGTTCAATACGACTTCTTATCCTTATTACTGAGATGAATAGTTTTCGGAGTCGCTGTGTCAATCCGTTCCAGTATGACCACCATGTCGAGTACAATGTTCGCACAACTCCTTAGAGCATAGCCAACAAAATTCCATGGCTCAAAATGAAAAAAATCTGTGACACCTGTCGTGTAAAATTGTGTAAAATGTCAGAAGCCGATCTACAATCCTTCAATATTGATCGTCGTATTGATATTGATGAAGATCCACCAGCAAATACTCCAGCACAACAAAATGATGACAGTATTGCCCAAAGCATTGGAAATATCACTCAAGATCGTGTTAATCAATCACTAAATACTGAAGAAGTTCCCCCCGAACCCAGTGAAACCCACGATTATTATACTATTCGAGATTATGATCTGTCCAACATTGATCGTCTTCACCGATTATCATTTGAAATTCCAGGAAATCCTGTCAACCCACTGTCTCAGAATTCGGCCCACTCAAATTCCTTTGTAAGCCAGTCAACAGTCACCAGCCATTCCACGATGTCCAGCCAATCCTCTCACAATACTGATGAATCATACTATCCCAGTCCTGTCAAAAGACAAAGAGTAAACAATATCGATGATGATACATTGGATCTTGCAGAAGCGAGGAGAGAGATGCTTGACCAATTGAAAGACAAATTCAGTCGCCCTGATACCACGAATTCTCAGAAAATTCTCATTCTCACATTAGTTCCCAAGAGTTGGAGTATAAGAAAGACTGCTCAATTCTTCTCTACGACTCGTTCGATGACCCACAATGCTAAAAAGTTGGTGAACGACAATGGCATTTTGACATCACCCAATCCAAAGAAGGGCAAGAGACTTCCTATGGATGTGGTGGATACAGTAAGGGCTTTTTACTTCAGTTATACTAACAGCAGAGAATTACCCGGAAAAAATGATTTTGTGTCAGTGAAACAACGGGATGGATCTCGTAAACAACTTCAAAAACGTCTCATTTATTGCAATCTGAATGAACTGTACCAGCTTTTTTTGGTGAAACATCCCAACGTAATCATCGGTTTTTCAACTTTTGCGAAATTTCGTCCAGAGCAGTGTATCTTCGCTGGAGCTAGTGGCACTCACAGTGTCTGTGTTTGTGTGCATCATGAAAATGTTAATCTGATGATAGAAGCATCTAACCTGTCTGTTTTAACTGCAAACACTGAACATCACTTGAAAAAATATAAAGATTTCATCGAATTGACTATTTGCGATAAACCTAATTCCGATTGTTATTTGGGGGAATGTGACAATTGCCCAGGAGTCAAACCTTTAATATCTCATCTCCAAACTGTATTTGATAACAACTCTATTGATCGCATTGAATTCTATAATTGGACTGAGACTGACAGAGCAGCGATGAAGGTGAATGTTTTGAGTAGTGATGCTTTCGTGAATGATTAACAGGATTGAAAAATTCAAAACTCACGCGTTTGTTGCACAAAAACAATCCGAGTACCTCGACTTCTGCAAAGAACATCTCAACATTGATGAATTCATCATTCAGAGTGATTTGTGGCTTATGTGGCGCAAAATACAATCCAATCATTCCACTGGAACAATGATCAGTGCACAATTCATACAGTAGTGTATTATTATAAAGAGAATGATGAATTGCATCATGGATCAATGGTTCTCCTATCAGATGATTTACAACACAACACTGTGGCATTCTACGCTTTTCAACAAAAAATAATGCAGCACTTGAAGGAAAAATTCACACCAAAGAAAATAATCTACTTCACTGATGGAGCTCCTCAACACTATAAAAACAGATTCAATTTTGTGAATATCGTGAAACATGAAGAAGATTTTGGGATACCCGCGGAGTGGCATTTTTTTGCCACAGCTCATGGGAAAGGCCCGTGTGATGGGATCAGCAGAAATATGAAAAGACAGGCAGCACGGGCGAGTCTCCAGGCTAAGAATCCTGAAGATCAAACTTGATGCACGAGCACTGTGTAATTGGGCGGAGAAGACTTTAGTCAAGACTGAAGTTGCATTTAGTCTAAAGACAGATCATCCTGCGATTGCAACTAGTTTGGACCTTCGATTCAAGACCGTGAAGACTGTACCTAGAACGCATAAACTCCATTCTCTCATCCCAAATGAAATAGGGCAATTAATTCTGAGAAAGTTCTCCTTCGCTGATAAGTTTGAAATATTTCCAAAATCGAGTAAAAGAAAAGAGGCAACGACGAAAAAACCTGTTCATAAAGTCAAATCTCAACGTTCTAGAAAATCGCTATGAGCCTAGTAACTTCCTTCTTTTTCGTATGAATAAGAACTGATTTGTAATACTTTGAATTTCTGTGTGAATAAAAGGAAATGAAAAAACGAGCTGTAATTGCATAGAAATGGATTTTTGCCCTAATCTTGACCGAATAACTAGCCAGATCATATTATAATTTGTATCCTCGATACGTGGGTTTTTATTTTCTGCTATTTTTGTCTATTTTTCATTAAAAATTTCAAGGATGAATAATGTCGAAATGCTTATGCATCACCAGAACACTTTCGAAGCATGTTTAATAGAGTTTTTCCGAATAGTAGCTGTTCATTTCGATCGCTCTATTTTTTTATGAAACCAAATATTAATGAAGAAAACAGAAATTTTTTTTATGAATAAATCTGATTTCGTCATGCAGTAGTTATTTTTGCTCAGCATGGTCAGTTCAAATGCCCACTTCCATATTTTTTCATGTGTTTTATATGCATATGAGGAATATTCTAAATTTTTTTAATGAGAATCAAAGTTGCCCAAAGCCATGAAAGTGGGCTTTTAAGAAAATTTTTCAAGTTTTTCGCGCCTAAACTGGATAACAGTTGATTTAAAACATCTAAAAATATTTTCATTGAAAAGCTGGGGAAAAAATATAAATTTTAGGTTTGAAAATCTCTATATAATGATTATTTGGACATTCAAAACTATTGGAATCAACTATCAACTTAATTAACCATATCGCCGTACCCACTCACCCAAAAAATCTGAAAAAATTTCAAAAAAAGTTTTTTGAGTACACAATCAACCTCAAATTTTTCCAGAACTTTTGGGGACATCGATGGAAATGAGTGGGTGAGTTGACAGAGAGTCCCCCACAGGAATCGCGCCCACGCGCAGAATTACCACCCGAGCCGAAGGCGAGGGTGTTATGCCCATGGATAAGGGTATTTACTCCCTAGGTAGTGAATATATTATTCTTTTGCTTTTTGATGAGCAGGAGGAAAGAGAATACTTTCCAACCTGGGGCGGAAAATTGTCACTTATTTGCTCCCGCTCATCTGGGGGCAAAGTACGAATTTACCGTGCAGGTGTGGGAACATCAGCGTGTGCACCTCGGGCCAGGAAAAGATTATTTTTCGCCCTCGGTGCATAATATACTATTTCTTGAAATAATTTTGCGTAAATCTTTTCTTTTCTCGAAAATGTTCTTCTGAAGTTAATTTTGCAAAGTTATTCAGCCATGGAGCCGACATTTTTATCTAAAATTAATATTCACTGCACATTGCCCCATTTCGAATCAATCCGCTTTAATCTTTTAATAAATCTTACAATACTTTTCAGGGTCATACTCACCTCAACCCGTAAATACCATGAAAAACGTTGGATCAATCCTGGAAACTGCACTGCAAAGGGCTCCTTTCCTACACCTTCAGGCTGGCAAAGCACAACCAGCTATCGATCGTTACAGGTATTAGGATCGAGACACGTGGTAACGTATCGGTCAAAAAGACGTTTTTTTTTTGCTCTGACTGCACAATCCTGGCCGAACGCTGCCGTGCATCTATACACGAAATAACCATCCCCTCCTCTACCTCCGAATCATATCCATTAAATAAAATGCGATTAAAAAATTTGAAATTGTAAATTCGGAGACTTTACAATTGATTTTGTTAGGGGGCTGCAAGACGAGAATTTTGAAATAAAAAGTTAATCGGACTAGTAGTTTGGGAGATATTGAGCAAAACAGTTTTTCACAAAAAGTTTAATATCTTCTAAACCATTTATCCGATTTCGCCTATGTACAATTCCATCCTGTGATATCATAAAAGCTCGGAATTTCACGGAATTTCAATGTCGTATCTCAATTTTTTCGAGAGCCCTCGGGCACAGAACAATTTCTTCATGAAAGCGAAAATGCCGATTATTGCTAAACTGTCTCTAGTTGCATAGCAATACCATGATTCGATTTGATAGATATTATCACAAGTAACATTTTGACGTGTTTGAAACGCAACTAAAATTCCAGAACATTCTGGTCGACCATCGGCCTACTTCGAAAATCTCTGGGACCCTTCGGGTCATAAGTCACCGAAACACGCGCGAATCAGTTTAGGCTTAGCCTCTCACCGTATAAGTCTATTTCGAGCAAATCACCTGTAGACGTTGTATAGTATCCATTCGTATTTCAACGAGTTCACATCATCTAAGTAGTAGTCTCTCAACTAGTCCACAAGAATTAAGTAGAACTCAACGAGTAATTCAACGTGTAGTAATTCACCGAATAGTTATTAACGAGTATTGATCAACATTATTAAGAGTTCATATCGAGAAGTCGATTCAGTCAATTAGCATCCAAAATTGAATACCTTTATTCAGTACATCACCTTTGTTGATTAAATTCAGTTTAAATTCAGTGACTCACCAAATTAACGTGCAAAGACAATCACCAGTGAAATTACATATTACCAAGGAGTGTACATAAGTTTTGACAAAGTGGTTCGATCCCACAAAATAAAGTGTGATTTTTTAAATCCAGCTCATCAGTAATTTTCCCAACAGCTCCCTCCACATTTTCATCCCACATCCACCCTAAATCTAGTAATTCACCAAACATGACGTAAAAAAAAATTAAATTCGGTCACGTAGTTTTCGAGATATTGAGGAAAAAAGATTTTTGACAAATTGCTGTATCTCGGAAACTACTTGAAGTCTTTTTTTTTTCATTTCTACCAATTTCATTGGTAGTCAACTTCTGAATGGATCCGTTGTAATTCCATTCAAAAGGAAAATGATTTCTTCACAAAAATGGAAAATTAGAGCAATTTGCAAAAAAATTGATAAAATACATTTACACTAAACATTGAATATCTCCGAAACCGCTCGGCCGATTTTGCCCATCCAAAATATCAACCTTAAAAATCATGAGAATATAATTATAGCAAATATCAACTCGCCATCTCCATTTTTTCTCAAGTTATCGTGCGTACAAGATTTTTTTTCAAAAAACGAAAAAAGGGTAATATCTGGGAAACTTTGGAGGAAGGAGCACATACATTTTGATTGATCTGTTTCTCAGATATTGAGGAAAAATAAAATTTGAACGAGTTGTTATATCTCTGGAACTATCGGACCGATCGAGCTGAAACGACGCCTCAAAGTCGCGCTCAGTCATAGCTATCATTTGTCAAAATTTCACATTTCTATCAACAAATTTCACTGTATTTATGTTGAATTTTCTGAAAATTCATCTCCAAAAAACGAATTTGGGATTTGACATTTTCTGAAAACAAAATTTCTTCAGGTTCGGAGAGTCGATGGTTGCATATAGCATCCCGCTTTCCATGTAATTTATGCCTTAAAAACATGTACAGTTGACCGTATACAGTAGCCCGGGGATAAAGTAGATAATTTCTTCATGTTTCATAACATTCCACATCATTTCCAAAAGCAAAATTGGAAAATCTCCAAATCCGACAAATACAATGCTTCCATGCACAAGCAATACAGATATAGATCTTATGATGCGAAAGCTAATTTTATTTTTTTGTCAAGAAATCATTTTGCTTTAGAATGTAATTGCTACGGATCCATTCGAAAGCTGACTACCAATGGAATTGGTAGAAATTGAAAAAAGAAAAAGACTAATAACCCAAAAATTATGGCCACATGCCTTCTGTCAGATAAGCTCGAACCCCTGCTTGTTTCTACTTTGAATGATTTTTTTAGAAATCATCAGAGTGAATTATTTAAAATTCCGAGTTGACATACAGTTGACGAGATTGTGGAGGAGTGGGGGTATATGCATTGGAACCATCTCATACCCATTTTTATTGATCTCAGGCTGTTCCTGTGAAAGTTGACGAATGAATAGCCTTATTTTTTTAAAGATAAAACCATATTTTTTCAGATGAAAGAAAGAAAAATTACGGGTTATAGGGTGGAAACACTACAATAAATTATTGAAGCCTTAAAATACTATTTTGAGGGGGAAAATTGGATCACAATAACCAAAAATAATCTTTTTTCTTCACAAATTTGAACATTTTAATGACAACAGTATATTGTGCATCAAGGGCGGAAAGTCATGTTTTCCCGCCCGAGGTGCACATGCTATTTTTTAACACGCCTGCAAAGGAAAATTCGTATTTTGCTCTTTGATGAGCGGGAGGAAGGTACGAACTTTCCGTGCAGGTGTGTGAAAATAATATTTTTCGTCGTATCTGCACAGAAAGTAAGATTTTCCTCCCCAAATGGCAGGAAGAAAGTGGCCTATTTCATTCCTCGGATTTCCGTATATGATATTCAGATATTTCTATACCAATATTTTCTAGACGAATTATTTCTACACATTAATTTTTACATAAACTTTTGTTTTCATACGAAAGATGTCTAAACGCTCCAGAGAAAATCGTAGAGAAATGTCGCAACTCCATGCTAAATGTTTCTATACATGTGGTAGTGGGTCGTATAGGATCAAACCTATAGAAATCGAATAGAAATAATGTGTATAAAAAATATCTGTATAGAAAAATTCGAATAACATATACGAAAATCTATAGAAATTCTATACGCGATCCGTATAGAAAATTCCTATACGATTTTTTCACGTTCCTCCTTGCATTTACAAAGAATAATTGACCCCCAGGTATTTAGCCGACATAGGTCATTAATTAGAAAAATCACCTTATGTACTCGATCCCTGGCAACTTAGTATCCTCGCTGTTTCGAGAATGTTACGAGGATGTAGCGAGGATGTTATTTTAATGTGAAAAAGGCCGAAAATGACATAAATACGGATCCGAAAATAGTTAAAATGTTGAAAGATGATCGATTTGTTTCAATTAATACAGTTTATTGTGTTATTTTCTAAAAATTAGCATAAATGGGTGAAAGTGTAATTATGCCAATACAATCCCTGATTAACGAATGCCGCGAGATGGTGTTAGGGTTAAATGACCGCCCTGGTTGGCCGGGTTAACAGCACTGCGATTGCTGCCGCAGCAGTCGCAGGCCAGCCGTCTGCCGAACGAGTCGACAGAAGGGTGTTGCGGCGCATTTTGTTACTTTATTTTAGCTGAAAAAATGTTGATATTTTCAATTATTCAATGCTGATGACTGCCAGGGTGGAAAGTAGACGCATGTATCCGGAGGGATGAAAATTGAGGGGGCGAGGGGGAGGGGTCGGAGATTAGACTTTTATAAAATTTACACCTCCGAGCACATGCACTGATATTTTATAATTTTTTGAACAATGAATTTCGCGGAAAATACATGAGTATGCGGTTTCTCCGGGGGGTTGAAGACAGCCGCATACTCATGTATTTTCCGCGAAATTCATTGTTCAAAAAATTATAAAATATCAGTGCATGTGCTCGGAGGTGTAAATTTTATAAAAATGTAATATCAGAATCCTCCCCCTCACACCCCTAAAGTTTCATCCCTTTGGATATATGCGGGTGTCTTCAACCCCCACAAAAAAACCCAGTCTCATGCATTTTCTTCGAAATTCATTGTTCAAAAAATTATAAAATATCAGTGCATGTGCTCGGAGGTGTAAATTTTATAAAAATGTAATATCAGAATCCTCCCCCTCACACCCCTAAAGTTTCATCCCTTTGGATATATGCGGGTGTCTTCAACCCCCACAAAAAAACCCAGTCTCATGCATTTTCTTCGAAATTCATTGTTCGAAAAATTAAAAAAAATCAGCGCATGTTTCCGGAGGGGTACATTTTAGAAAAATGTGATCTCAGACTCCTCTCTCTCACCTCCCTAAATTTTCATACTCCTCAATCCCTACATTGGTAACCCCGACGTGATCAAAATAAGGGAAATTCGCGTTAATCGAAAGGGAAAATTAACTCGCGGCGTCCTGTGCATTTTTGCTCGAAAGTTTTATCCGTGCTTCCCAATGGTTTTATCCTATCCTTGGTGAACACCCGCGCAGCTAGCTTTCCAGTACCGCACAACTCCAAGTTCAAGTGCAATTTTATTTCACGTGCTTAATAAAACATTATTTTCACAGTGTGGTTTTTCTCAACGAAAATATTAAATACGGCGTCGCGAAGTTTCTAGAACATTTGAAGCGTCGGAGTGCCAACCGTTGATTTCTCAGTATTTCGGTAAAATCAAAACAAAGTGCCGTATTCAAGTGAACAGTGACCTCGCCCCGACACATTGCTGAGTACCCAGAGACGTTCTGTTGTGTTGGTGATAAATAGAGACTTATAACGCTTTTATTTGTCGTCACATTTATACTTTCAATTTGATTTCTCTTCGAAATTTAATTCTGAAAATCGATAATCCTAGCTTCTCATTCAAAGCCAACAACGTGAGATACGATGTCTACCACAACAGGCGGCACGCTGACGGTCCCGACTGTCACGACAACGACCGCCTCCGCACTGCCGCAGACCAACGCACCGGTGTTCTCGCGTGACAAACCCAGGACTTGGTTCATACAGCTGGAGGCTCAATTCCGGAATTGTAACAGAAACAGCTAAGTTTTATCGAACATTACCATTGATTGATACAGAATCAGCTGCTGACGTAGAGGATGTAGTTATTACCTCTGCTCAAGCCGCACCTCTTCAAGCTCTCAGAAACGCTCTGATTGCTCGATTTACAAAGTCAAAGGAAGCAAATCTTATCCAATTACTTGATCGGGAGTCGGTTGGAAATCAATTACCCTCTCAATATCTAAGGCATTTGAAAAGTTCAGTTCCAGATATCGATGATGAAGTCTTGAGGGCACGCTGGCTATCTCATCTTCCGGAGAGCACCCGAGCATATCTGGTGATCCAGCCCCAGGCAAACACCGAAGACCTAGCAAAGCTCGCAGACAAGATCCACGAGGTCTATCATCCGGATACTGTTGCGGCGATAACAAAGTCGAGTGCAAGGGAAAACGCTGGCCGCTCAGGTCGTAGCACTCACCGCGTCTGTCGCAGCCCTGCAAGCACAGAACTCGCGCTCACATCCACGCTCACGTGCCCGTTCGCGATCCCGCG